ATCTGCGTGTTGCAGAAGATGTACTGTATCGTGATCGATATGCAACCGAAGTAGGAGATGATGATCTCTCTTCGCTGCATTTCACGCATCGAGACGATGACCAGCCTGATTTGAGCGAGCTGAGTGACGAGCCGTCTTCTGAGCTCGAGGGAGGCGAGTATGCGGATGTCATGCAGACACAGGGTGGCGAGCGTACTGACGTGCAGACACAAATTACACAAGATGTATACCAACCTTTGCATCATGCCGATGATGACCCTGTACGCTATGTCGATGGTGAAGTTACCAGTAGACTCGGAGACAGTGTTGAAATGAATGGTGATGTTAAGCTCGATGTTGAAACTGTCCAAAACAATGGTGAGGCCGCTGAGGATGGTATTGAGACCGTTCAAGTAGGCAGTGATGCCGTGGGATATGAGAAGCGTGGTGAAGTTGACGAACAAGTGGATGTTGTTGTCGAGAGTGTACATGATGATGACAGTCAACTGAACGAAGCTGATGAAGATGTTGGCGTCAACACTGGTGAAGTTGCTGAGGACGAGAGCGACCAAGGAGCGCTTGAGAGTGCTGAAACAGCAGACGAAGTTGCGTCTGTGGCTGGAACCTGTGGATCAGAGACAGTTGACCATGAGGTGGATGAAACTGAAGAGCAAGATGATAACGAAGAGATCACGGTAGCAAGCGTCTTTGCTGATGACCCAGGTAGCAAGGAAGCAGAACTGCAGAGTGACACGGGAGATGTGGCGGAAGCTGAGCTAGAGAGAGAGAATTGGTGGATGCAAGCTCTGTTATGCCGATGGGGGCAAGACAAACTGGCAAGCGCACACACCGTGATGAGACCCCGTCAGAGGAAATGCGCGCTGAGCAGGAGGCGGACAAGAAAGACGTGAAGAAGATTCGGACAGGACTTCGAGAAGTTCATGAGCGTCGACGTCCTGCATACCTCGATGACTATGTGGTGAATGTAACGATGAATTCCTCGCGTATACTGGACAAGAATGGAAGACCCATTCGCGCGAGTGAGATCAAGATTCCACGCAATCGTCGCGAGATGTTGCGGTCAAAGTGGTGTGATTTCTTTATGATGGCGGAGATGGAAGAGCTGGCAGCTTTAAAGTCAAAAGGGGTGGTTGCTGAGATTCCTGCGGAGGAAATGCCGGAAGGAGCAGCACCTGTAAACACGATGTGGGTGTATGACATCAAGTCAGACCACCAAGGGTATGTGGTTCGTTTCAAGTCCCGCATTGTGGCGCTAGGCAACTACCAGAGGCCTGGTATTGATTTCAAAGAAACGTTCGCGCCTGTGGCGAGGATGTCCTCGTTCAGATTGCTGCTGGCAGTAGCAGCGCAGCTGGGGTTGATAGTGTACGGCGGTGATATCAACACCGCGTACTTGAATGCCTGGCTGGCGATTCAACAGTACTTGAGATCCATTGATGGATATCCCTGCAAGATCAACGGAGA